AAAGCCGATCTCTTCTCATGACTTGACATCACCCAGAACACCTTTACTTGTAAAAGCGTTCTACAATTGCAAAGGGTCAATCTAGATCCTTTAGCGCGTTAAGACTAGGGAAACTTTTTCTAGCCTTAATAGCTACTTGTTTCAAACACTTAGCGAACCAAGGATTGTTTTCGCATCCTTAAACATTTCTGAAAGATTCTCTATTCTTTGAGAACTTCTCAGAATGAGTCTCGGATTTATTTCCTTGACTACTTTGATCATCGTCTATTCTAGACTTGATCAAAGGGGGGCTAACTGTAGACATCTACTTTTGGCCTCCTGTCCCGACAAGAAGTGCAATGACGACAAATAAAACCATCTTCGTGTTATATTGAAGTGGAGAATGCTTATGGATAACTGGTTAAGCCACAAAACACAAAAACTAGCCCAAACTAAATAAACAAAGCTAAGACGAGGTCCAATTAACTAAATCCGATCAATATTAGGCTTAAAACCCAATAATGACGGATTTAGGAGTGCCTAGGTTAAATTTTAATGGTGCCGCAAGAAAATCTGCGCTCATCTCAATAAATCACGCTGGGCAGGCGCGCACAACTAATTTAGTTGTGCGCGACACTCAGCGCAACCTCTAGAGATGCGCTCGCGGAAGATTCAGATTTTTATGAAAATATAGAATCGAATCTTACCATAATGCCGCACGCAAGACACTTAGTTGCGTTGCCCATAGAAGCGGAACCAAATCACTTGGGCTGGGATGTTGAGCGCAACACCTGCTATGGAAGAATGTTCAAAACCCTAAACCTACTCGTTCCCTATAAATAGAGGCTTAATCCGAGGCTTAAAAACACAGAAAATAACCTAAAACTCTGGCGGAATACTTGTGAACTTGTGCTACCTAAACCCTCTTGTCCTAAACACTCACCCCTTGATCTTTTGTTACTACGGTGGAGGTTCCCCAACAAGAAGGTGTCCATAAGTGTTCTAAACGGAGATCTAGCAAAGAGAAGTGGTAAAATTCCCAAGCACTTAGATAAATCATATTTATTTTCTTGTTTAAAGGAACCTTAATTAATTAATTAGAGTTGTTTGATCACCTTAAAAGGACTAATTAATTATTTTCACATAGTATCGTGCGTTAAATAAAAATTAGAATAGGATAATTAATTGTTGGTTGATCACTTAAGCCAAGGCGAAAATTGTTTATTTTCTTGTTCTTTTCACGAATTTGATTAAATAAAGAATAACGGTGTTGCAATGTAATTCCTACGTGAATTAACGTGTGTAAATAAAATCAACTAACTTAGTTTTAGGTATAGCGTTGCATATATTGTTTGGTAATGAAATTGCAAAAAAGGAAGAGCTAGTAGAGGTCGTACTAGGGCTAGAATATCTATTCCTCCTTAAAAGGAACGTTATTTTAGTACCCTCGCTCCCGAACTCATTTCTGGTTTATGTAGACTAATTTGGGCATGGGTAAACTTACGATTCATGCTAATTATTATTCCATGAACTCCACTTGGAAGAAAGGCATGAACGAGGTTTATCATTGGCGACTTCTACTTGTTTCTTATTAAAAAAGCGTGATGATAGTATCATTTCTGGCGTTGGATCCTCGGTAGGGCCAATAGGTTTGATTAATCCTCGATCATGGAGACGATCAAAAGCAACATCATAGGTCATTCCAATGGGTGTGAACTCTCTTTTGGGTTTCTTTTTAGATCCTTGATTATCCATGGCTAAGACACCGTTGTGGTTAAAGGTACTAACATTGTTACTAAAGTAGGTATTTTCGGAAGAAGAAGAATTGTCGTTCTTCTTTACTTTCCAGCCAATGTGGTTACTATTTTTAGTAGCTTTTTACTTTGCGAGGTCATCTTCGATTTCAATACCGATGTCATAGACGGCCTTGAAAGTATTCAAATTATGTTGATATTTTAAATGCTTTGAATACTTCTCTTAGAGATTTTTTATAAACATCCTTACAGATTCTTTTTCGGTGGGCACCTCAATAATCTTAGCGGAAGTTTCCCTCCACTTATTAAAGAAAGAATTAAAGCCTTCATTCTCTTTTTGTCTTAGCATCTCAAGTTATCTGTAGTCGGTTTCTGTAGACATCTACTTTTGGCCTCCTGTCCCGACAGGAAGTGCAATGACGATAAATAAAGCCATCTTCGTGTTGGATCAAAGTGAAGAATACTTGTGGATAACTGGTTAAGCTACAAAACACAAAAGACTAGCCCAAATTAAAGAAAAGCCAAAATAAAGGTCAAATTAACTAAACCCGATCATAATTAGGCTTAAGCCCGTGCTTAAACCCTAATAATGATGGACTTAGGAGCGCCTAGGTTAAAACTTAGTGCTGCCGTAGAAAAATTCGTGCGCATCTCACAAAGTCGCGCTGGGCTTCCGCGCGCAACTATTTCAGTTGCGCGCGACACCCAGCGTAACTCTGGAAGATTTGTAATTATACGGAAAATATAAAATCAAATCTTATCATAAAGCCGCGCGCAAGACCAATAGTTGCGCTGCACATAGCAGCGTAACTCTATAACTTGCGCTGGGTTGCAGCGCGCAACTTCATATGTTGCGCGCGACACCTGCTGCGGAAGATTGCTCGAAACCCTAAACCTAATCATTCTCTATAAATACGAGCTTAAACCGAGGCTTCAAGAGACAGAAACTAACCTAAAACTCTGGCGAAAATAACTTGTGAACTTGTGCAACCTAGCCCTCTTGTCCTAAACACTCACCCTTTCGATACTTTGTTACTACGGTGGAGGGTCCCCAACAAGAAGGTGTCCACAAGTGTTCTAAACAGAGATCTAACAAAGAGAAGTGGTAAATTCCCGAGCACTTAGTTAAATCACCTTTATTTTCTTGTTTAAAAGGACTTTAATTAATTGATTAGTGTTGTTTGATCACCTTTAAAATAATTAATTAATCAATTCCACATAGTGTCTTGCGTTAAATAAAGACTAGAATTGAATTAAATAATTGTTGGTTGATCACAAGTGTCTTGTTTATTTATTGTTCTTTCACGAATATTATTAAATAAGAATAACGACTTTTGCAATGTAATTCCTACGTGAATTAGTGTTTGTAAATAAAATCAACTAACATAGTTCTAGGTATCGCGTTGCATATATTGTTTGGTGATGAAATTGTGAAAAAGGAAGAGCTAGTAGAGGTCGTACTAGGGCTAGGATGACGATTCCCCTCTAAAAGGAATGTTATCTTAGTACCCTCGCTCCCGAACTCAATTCTGGTTTATAGACCAATTTGGACATGGGTAAACTTATGATATGTGCTAATTATTCCATGAACTCCACGTGGAAGAAAGGCATGAACGAGGTTTATGAGTTTTTCCTAAAACTCATTGGCGACTCCTGCTTGTTTCTTATAAAAAAAGCGTGATGATAGAATCAATTCTAATTCAAGGTCCCCCAAACAGTCGGGAATTCAAATCCTACTACACCCTAACAAGTGTAAAGTCCTAGGCTTTTAAGTGGCCAAGGGCATTTAAGGAGAGTACCCCTTACGATGGGATCACCCTCCTTAATTGAAAGCGTTTACAATAGCATCCCAAGTAGAGGTTTCCTTTTTATCAAGAGAAAAGAACCATTGTTGACAAACGGTTTCAAGTGATAAAGAAAACAATGTATGAAAATTTTTCTTATTTATCCCCTTAATATTCATTATTGTCTCGAATGCCCTTAAGTGGAAGTAGGGAATGTCTGTTGGCTTGAAATTAGGGATGTCGGAAGAAATTCCTTGTCCACTAAGACCCCTTGGGAGCTAATGCCCTGGAATCTATAGTCATTGGATATTTTGCTCAAGCTTTCTTGCATAACTCCATTTGTTGTTGCCTTACAGGGTCATTGACTTGAAGGGCTATACTCTTCATTAATTCAGTTAGGTTGGCTACATCCTTCTTGAGTTCATTAACTTCTTCTTGAGACGTCATTATCTTCTTAGCCTTTCTTTTTCGACTAATTAGTTTGTCAAAAAGTAGCACTTGAACTAAGGTGTTGTCCTTGATTAATCGCCCTTCCCTCCTTGACCAAGCGTTGTGGAAAGGAAATTGGGGATATTTACTGTTAATTATTTGACTCAAACTCTATTCAACATGCAATAGATGGAAAGAATGAATATTGTGATATGGAGAAAGCATGTAGAGAATGGAAAGATGATGTAGATGGGGATATATGGAAGAATTAGGAATAAAATGTACCCCCGACTCAAATGATGGAAAGGACAATTTATGTATGAACCTAAGACATGGTCATGGTGACATATATACAAAGTGTGTGCTAAAACTAGTAAGTGTAGGTAACATACCTTGACTCTTTTGTGAGACCATGGGACTATGTGCTAGACTCGATTAAGGACTGAACATAATTACTGCCATTAATAAACTGATTAAACTGTATTAGGAAATCGATTAGACTGACACATCGTGAAGACTCGAGCAAAATTACAGGTTGTCGTCAGACGACAGTACTGTCACCAGACACTGGCAGCCAACGCTAAACGACGGGATCGTTGCCTGGCGCCGGACACAAGCATACAGTGTGACGCACAGTCAAAATCTTTGCGCCGTTATGGAACATCGATCTGGCACTACTATAAAAATTAGCAAAGAGACTCGTTGTAATATGCTTTAGAGACCAGCTCAGATTGGGTCTCTATCTCAAGGGTCTCTTTGATAATGAGACCCGTTCATTAGGGGGGTATGTTAAGGAAAACAAATAGACCCGTTGTTGGTGATAGAGATTCTGTTATGTATAAATTGATTTTTAGAAGGGAAAGAGACCCGTTACTTCAGATATGGGGTCTTTTTAGTGCCTTTAAACAGACCCATAATGTCCATTAACGGGTCTCTTTGCTCTGTATTTTTTTAAAAAAAATTTAAAAATTATTTTTGCTTTTGATGTGGGTTACAATTGAATTTTGAAAGTTTTGTTTTCAATCTTCATGCAAATCATACTACTGGAAGTATATTGTAGTTACACTTCAAGTGCACTATAATAATAATAATGGGCTAAAGTAAAGTTAATGTGGTAAAAAAAAATCAACCTACATAAAATGCAAATTAAAATAAACAAAAAATAATATTGATGTTACTAAAATATACAATTACAATTACAACATTAAGGCTCAACAAGTACAATTGCTCAAGTTCTCCATTCTCTCTCGTTGTCTGAGAATTTTGTGAGATGAAATCAAGCAAATCTGAAAAAAAATACAAATAATGAATCAATATAAATAAGAATCCTACAAAAAAAACTTGTTTATAAATAAGTTCAATAAATAAAAAAAACAAAGAAATAAGATATACAAAAAAATATTGAAAGAAAGCACAACTTCACAAGCAACAATATTACAACCTACAGTACTCTGCATGTATTTTCATCTCAATTTACATCTAACCAAAGATTTATAATACAACAAGTCAACAAAACATCGAATACTAGAACTCGTATAATGATCATACAATCCAGATTGATTAATCACATATCCAACTTTTTTTTTTTTTTTTTTTTTGATGGGAAGCTAGCTAATTTTATTAAATCACATCTGAAATCTCTAACATAAATCAATGGAAGATTAGTACAATACAAGATATTACCATTAAAAGGGTCCTTCGATTTGAGATACAAAGCTTGCAGAGTAGTAAGACTCGTGAGACAAGAAGCACAAGGAGACCCGTTTGCAAGAGATTGATTACAGTTCAAAACGGCGTCGTTTAACGCAAATTGAGGAACGAATTTTTCGAACTCGGTCTGAGTTGAGATGTTCAAACAACCTTCAGAAATCCACTGAGCCTTGAACCCACAAGAGGTTTGAACCTTGAAGTTTGGTATGAACGAGTCGACGGCTGAGTCGTACGAGTTCCAGCATGACTCGGACGAGTTAGGTGGTGGGTAGAATGAGTGCCTTTTTAAGGGGAGAGAAATAGATTATTTTTACTCCGTACCATTTGAGTGTTTACAAAGTACATTTCTTATTACCATTTGAATGTTTACAGAGTTTTAAATCAAGGTGAGAAGCTAAGGAAGAGGAAGTGACGGCGGTGGATTGGTTTGAAAGCGAGGATGAGATTTTTAATTTGGAGTTAGGGTTTGAAGAGTGAGAATGACTTGAGTAAATATCAGGTGAAAGAGTCTTATAGGGACTAAGGAGACAAATCATAGAATATTAGAGTAGAATATTAAAAGAAAAAGTACTATACCAAATAAAAAAAAAAAAAGTAATAATTCAATCAAGAATAGATTTAAGAGACCCGTTAGGTTGACATCAGGTCTTATCTCTTTGTTTTTATTTTCCTAGTTTACATAAGAGACCCGTCATATTAAATGTTGGACTCTTATATCAAACAGATCCGTTAGTTAAATAACGGGTCTTTAATTAGGGATCTCTTTTTCAAGTTTTGTAGTAGTGTGGGACTGTTTCCATTATTTTTCTCTAAGGGGATTAGCCTAAAAGTCGTACTAAGTCCAGTTTGATCCATTTATTAGACTTAAGTTATTATTTAATTAATTAAATTAGCAAAGTCCTTTTAGTCATTATTTTTATTTATTTAACTCATACACAAGTCAAACAAACGGTTAGGAAAAAAAACACATAGAGTATGCACAGCAAATAATGTACAAGTAGTCATATAGTCATGATATGATGCAATGAGTTTACAACCTAACCATGGCTCTAGTTCTCTAAAGTTCGGGATATGGGTTAGTCAAAGAATGTCCATGGTTATGAGTCTGGATGCACCGCGAGGAAGCCTTACCTTTGGAAGGGTTGTCGCGTGTGGATGGGACCCCGCGAGTTAAACTCGCTTCTATGGTTTGGTGAATTCAACATTCTCGGATGTACCCTTCGTTGCCAAGAGCGTTCAATTGGGTAGATGGCGCATAAATTCTCAAAGGGTTATATCCATATGTACAACACATATGGGTTTCAGAAAATAAGGAAAAACTCAATCAGGAAGTAAAACAAAGCAAACAGAACTAGAAAACTAGTCGAAACAAGAAGGTAGATTTCTGGCTAGGTAGTGGAAGAATTTAGCGCGGGAAAATAGCTTCGTTGCTAAACGCTGGCCTCGTCGCCAGAAAAAAAGCTTGTTGCCTAGCGACAACGCCAACGTTAGGCGCCGACGCTGTTTTCTTAGCGCTAATTCCTACATGCCTCAACAGCTTTTTGTTCTTCAATTTTCCAGTTTTTTCGTAACATTATTTAGATTCTAGTTGTGAAAGATATTTCCCTAGATTCCTACATGTAAAAATCCTATGTTTTAGACTCATTACGGATGGTCTTTCCAATGAGAACCTTTTTATGCTTATGCCAATAATGTCAATCAAAATTACGCTCATGAAATACTTAGAAATTTTCGAGTCTCATCCACTCATTCTAAATCATTGCCAAAATAAATTTTAGGAATTAAAATAGAAATCGTCCCCAACGGAGTCGCCAAAAAACTGAAGGGAATATTTCAAGCTATCCCACACTTGAGCCCCACTGTGACCATACACTTAAGCATGGTGGCGTCCAAAGGGAAGGAAGCTAGAGTAAAAGAGTCGCCAACAAGTTTTAGGAACTTGTAAACCGCTCACAGGGTGAAGGTTACACCCATTAACAATCCAGGTAATCGTTAACTCCAATAGGTCTGGAACCATGACTGGAAGTTTGGGGATGAAGGTACAAATACAACCTAAAAGAGATTAAACTTGTCCTAATAATAGGCCACTACTTTATTCTTCTCGTATTCATGTGCGCTTTCTGACTAACATACAATCAATAGGTTTACCTTAAACCTGTTTACTCTATGTTGCTTGAATATTAATGCACAAATAAAACTATTATTGGCGATCACTTGAATTATTATCATATTATCCTAAACAAGATTATTAAATGTGATTACAAGTACAAATTCCTTTTAAATATACATAAAAGGTGTGATCAAGCAATAACAATAAATATAAACATCAAGAAACATAATAATAATAATAATAATAATAATAATAATAATAATAATAATAATAATAATAATAATAATAATAATAATAAACAACAACAACAACAACAACAACAACAACAACAACAACAATCATCATCATCATGATACTGACATGATACTAGGAAAGAAATAGGAAGCATTCTTTTAATCATACTTGATATTAGAAATATTAATCCTAAACATGATACATAGAAGCAATAAAACATCCTAACATGATATTAGGAATCAGTAAAACAATCTAAGCATGATTTCTATATCAAAAGATCAATAAAACAAAGTACTTACTTCGATGCCTCATACCTCTTTCTAATAACAAAATACACACGTTAGTAACTTCAAGGAAAATATTAAAAATCAATACAATTAAATCAAATAATCGAAGAAGAAATTAGGGACCAAACCCTCATAAATATCAAACCTTTCATGTCTAGGGCGAAGGGAACTTCGAACTTGGCTAGGTGTTTCTAAAGCTAATGTATGAGGAATTTTGAGAGAGGGAAGGCTTAGAAAAAGAAAAGAGAGAGAAAGCTTCTAGCTTTTAGAGAGGGAGAGAATATGTAGATTGTGTATAGATGATTTGAAAACAGGGAGATACGACAGAAAATCATATTCGAAATAAAACTCCTCCCGTCGCAAAAGACAGGAGCCAGCGCCTGGCGACGACTCCATCGTCTCGCGCTGGTCCAAAAGTCAACGCGTTTTTCCACGCGTAATTACCTTCAAGACCGGTTTCAGGTAATTATGCGTCCGAGTAGTTTTCGATATCAGATTTATATATTGTATTCTAAATAAAACATTCTTTTAAAAATATGATTAATAGGCCCTCCTCTAGATCATCGGGCCACCTTTGAAAATCATTGGGCCTAATTTAATTTAATCCATACCTTCCTCATAAGTCATCGGAATTGGGCCTATAATATATCATTGGAAAGCTCTTTTCAAGCCCAATCCAACTACACTATTATTGGACCTTTATTATGGACCAAAAAAAATTTAGCTAGCTATTTTTCATAAATAGGAGTGAGAAAAGAAATATTTTTAGAAAACAGAAAGATAAATATTTTAATAAAAACATCCTCATCATTAGACTTTCCACACTTTCACCTCGTTCGATAATCAAATGACGCGAAAGGTATTCATCACTGGGTCTGGTTTTGGAGAGACACATTTTGGTGTCTACCCACCCATTCCCTATAAATAGAGGCTTAATACGAGGCTTAAACAGACATAAATTAACCTAAGCTAAAACTCTGGCAGAAACTTTGTGAACTTGTGTGCTACCAAACCCTCTTATCCTACTCACCCCCTTTACACATGTTACTACGGTGGAGGTTCCCGGACAAGAAGGAGTCCATAAGTGTTCTAAACGAAGATCTAGCAAAGAGAAGTGGTAAAATCCCGAGCACTTAGATCAATCATATTTATTTTTCTTGTTTAAAAGAATAATCAATTAATTAGTGTTGTTTGATCATTTTAAAAGGACATTTAATTAATAAATTCCACATAGTATCTTGCGTTAAATAAGATTAAAATTGAATAATTAATTGATTGATTGATCACTTAAGCCAAGGAGAATCTTGTTTATTTTTGTTCCTTTCACAAATTTGAATTAAATAAAGAATAACTACTTTAAAATGTAATTCCTACGTGATTGATGCATGTAAATAAGAATAATGACTTTTGCAATGTAATTCCTACGTGAATTAGTGTTTGTAAATAAAATCAACTAACATAGTTCTAGGTATCGCGTTGCATATAATGTTTGGTGATGAAATTGTGAAAAATGAAGAGCTAGTAGAGACCGCACTAGGGCTAGAATATCGATTCCCCTTTAAAGGGAACGTTATTTTAGTACATTCGCTCCCGAACTCATTTCTGGTTTATGTAGACCAATTTATCCCATGAACTCCACATGGGAGAAAGGCACGGACGAGGTTTATGAGTTTTTCAAAAACTCATTGGCGACTCCCTACTTGTTTCTTATAAAAATCTTGATGACAAGATCAATTCTAATTCAAGGTCCCCCAAACAGTCAGGTTGAAATCCTAATACACCCTAACAAGTGTAAAGTCCTAGGCTTTTAAAGGGCCATGGGAATCTAAGGAGAAGGATCCCCTACGATGGGAACACCCTCCTTACACACATGGACGTTTTTTTTTCACATGTTAGTTTTCAAAAGATGGTAGGTTACTTTAAAGAACACAAGTACTAAATGCAGTACAAAATAACCTAAATGCAGGATTTATACATTTATATGAAAATAATAAAAGACTAAGATACCTTATTCAATTTTTAGAACTCAATATTCCATTTCAACTTGAACGTAAAATTCAACTTAAAATTTTTTCCATTTCTACGGTCTACCTTTACTAATCCCACGACATTTTACTAATCCCATAAATTTTGCTAATCCCACAAATTTCACATTCATTTTTCCTCCCATCTAAGGTAATTTATATGTGTAAATTCGTTTTTTTTTTAATACTATGTGATTAGGGGATTTTTATCCACCAAGCGCCGTTTGACAAGTGGACCAACCAGGTTCCGCCACGCGTCCTCCACGGACCACTTAAGACACGCCACGTGTCCACCCATGCCAAATGGGACAACCGGCCATCAAGGCCCATTTCAGTCTAGAAGCCCGATCGGCCCTAGGTTTACCTTAAACCTAGAGAGTTGCACGCTTCCCAAGGCTATAAATACTCGATTAATCCTCATTAATCAGGGGACCGAATAACATTACGGAACACACTAATAACCGGCTGATCTCGCTAGCAAAGCAGATTACCTACATTAAATACTCTCACCTAGAGAGACCTTATTACTTTAATTTCTGTATTAATTACTCCTTAATCAGGTACTAACTTGACCGTTGGAGGCGGAGCTCTCAGGAGTCTCCGTTATTTTGCAGGTACAGGCGTCCGGTTCCAGTCTCGGAATTGTAACTCTCCCGCAGGACATCAGAAAACCCCGAAACATTTGGCGCCGTCTGTGGGGAGAGTACTTCAGAGATGGCATCCAAGTCTGTACCGACCCCAGAAGAGAGGCGTCCCCTAGACGACCCTCAAGTTCAGTCGGACCATGATACCGAAAGTGAATTTGAAGTTGAAACTCATACAGCTCCAGACGGGACCCTAAGGGCCCGCCGTACCCGTCATACTGAAATAAGGGAACGGGAGTATCTTCAAACAGGAAGCGAGCCAGCAGGCGCACCGCTTGCTCGGCAACAGCCGACTGATGGGTCTGCTCCCATCACAAGGAACGAACTCATGACCTTCATGAGGGGATTCAAGGGAGAGATCCAAGA